TTTTTCTGCCATGTAAGAACACAGCAAGAAGCTGGCGTCGGCAAGCCAGGAAGTGTCTCCACCAGAACCCAGCCCTGTAGCCTCCCTGATGTCAGACTCCAGCCTCCAGAACTCTGAGAAAATAAGCTTCTGTTGTTTAAGATACCTGAACTATGGTATTTTGTTATAGCAGCCTGAGCTGACTAATACAATGCTTATGATATGGAATCCCACCAAGTTTTATTATAGTTCTATAATGGAATTATTGGACATTAGATTAACCAATAATAAATAACCACTTTATTTTACATTTGCTACTATTTTTAAGGATAATCTACTTAAGGTAACCCACTGGAGGCTGGAGTAATTGATAAGGGACGATTCATATACTCGAGTCCTGGAGAATGATAATATCAAATGTTATAAAACCACACCCTTGGACCTCTTAACTCTGCTGCCAATAATAAGCCAAACCATGATCATGTTAGGCTTGGGTCATTTCAGTGTCTTTCCAAAAGACCATCCTGCTCACTGGCACTACCAGATATAGTCATCTTAAATTACACTGTTAAAAAAATTTTCATCCTGTTCAAAATTCATCAAGGTTTAAGATCCTTCTATGAATAATAATAATTCATGACAAATAGCATGTCATGAAATAAATTTTAATCTGAAACCTTAGCATTCATGACCCTCTATAATCTGGGCCTAATTTAAATTCCCCACATATAATAAGTACTCAGTAAATACTTGTCTAATTAATTTTCTGTCTTCAACATTTTCTCACTGTCCCTTGAACTTGCCATTTGCATTCCTGCTTTTCTGGCCTTGGTTCATCCTATGATCAACTCCTTACTCAAAATACCTGTCATAATCCTACACATCTTAAAAGATATAAAATCCACTTACTACAATCCCTTTTCCAACTCCAACCCATATGGGTATTTTTCCCTCTATAATCTCTCTGCTTTTTTGACCGAAACTTTGTTTTAAATTTAAAGTATAGTTAGCATTGTATGTATTCTGTGTGTGAGCATATGTCCCTAGCATTTTTTTCTACCTTATTACCCCATCTACATTGTAAATTTCCATTCTCAGTACCCAGTCTTCTTCACTAATCTTTCCCTGGAAACTCAGCCTAAAATAATCTCTCCACTTTGACTGTTTAGTAGTTATTTTCTATATCCTTCATTTATCCTTTAATTATGTCCAATATGCTATTGGTAATATATTAATATTATTATTGTTATTGTTATTATTATATTCTTCACATGATCTTGCTCAATTAACTCGAATTTAAGTTGCCTCAAGTCATAGGCTTTTATTCTTTAAAATGTCTAGAACTGAACTATGTAAAAATTTGTATATCAAGAGACACAAAGTTACAGCCTGAAGGGCAAAGGGCCAGAAGTCAGAAGACCTGGGTTCTAGTCTATGGTTTAACCAACAAACCACCCACGTTGGGTACTCTTTTAACAAACCTTCCTGGGTCTTTCCAGAGTAAAACTGTGATAGGAGATTAAGATATTTTATAGGTTTATTTTTTGAAATTGAGTCATAGGTTTCCTCTTTCTACAGTGTCCGAATTTATATACAAAGAGATGAAGTATCTACCTCTGAAAAGAGGATGGGAACAAAGGACCACTCTGACAACTGGAAGCAGCCAATAGAGTATCTGAATAAGGACAAAGGTCACACAAAGATTTGAATTCTTTCAGAGAATATTCCTAGTTTTACTTTGCTGCTTTCCAGGTGTTGGTTATCCAACTACCTGGGTAAGCATAGTGTATTAACCAGAGAAACAGAATCAATTGGATTATATCTATATTTACATCTCGATCTATAGTTACATCTAGAGAAAGAGCAAGAGATCAAGACAGAGAGAGTGCAACTGATTGACTGATTGCTTGATTTTTAAGCCATTGACTCCTGTGATTGTACAGGTTTGGAAAGTTCAAAATCTGTAGCTCATTAGGCTGTGAAAACCCAGGGCAGAATTGCAGTTTGAGTCCAAAGGCACTCTGCTGGCAGAATTCCTTCTTGTTTAGGGGAGGTAAGCTGTCAATAGATTGGATGAAGCCCACCCACATTATGGAGGGCAATCTGCTTCACTCAAAGATCACCAATTTAAATGTTAATTTCATCCAGAAAACACCTTCACAGAAATATCTAGAATAATATTTGACCTAGCCAAATTGACACAGAGAACTATCGCATATAGATACTGTCATTGAAGAAAATAAAGAATAATTCAGATGGCTTCCTTTTTTCATTCCATGGACAGTTTATCAGTCCTCTCTTTCATGATCTGAGAGAGAACAGGAATCCAATGCCTTCCCTTTGTCATGCTCAACAGACTCAGTGTTCTTACTTACAAAAAGCAGTTATGCTACATACAGTAGGTGTATCTCAAGTTAGAGAATCTATTTACATATTCTAACCCTGCCACTTAAATCATTTAACTTTGAAAAGTCACTTACTCTTACTGAAGTTCAGTTTCTTCAATGTGAAAATGAAAGAAATAGCACCTGCCTCACAGATAAGTTATGAGGATCACATGAAACTATATGGGAAATGGTTTCTTCATAGTAACATACTAACCATAAACATTATGTGTTAAATAAAACCTTTCTGCTTACCTAAAAGAACTGTTTTGAAGACCACACCATTCACTCATATCTACTCCCTCACTTAGCAAATATTTATTGAGTACCATTGACTGAAATATTAAACCAAGTTTCTCTAAAACAACAATGCCTTATGGAAATGTAGAGAATTATCAAAAGCACTGAAGAAATAGTTGACATTTTTGTATCGGTCTTTTCATCTCAAGTACTACTGGGCATGGGATGGAGTGAATTTTAATATCAGCACTAGGCCATTAAATTGGCACTACTGTTTATCCACAAAGGGATCGTACATCAGGTTCCTTAGAAGCAAGGACTCAGAGGGAGATTCCTGTGGAAGTGATCTGTTAGAGATGACTCCTCTTTAGTGAGGGAAGCAGGTTAGGGCAGTAGGAAAGATAAGAGGTAAGCGAGGATGTGGTCTTACCTGAAGACTGACTTTAGCCCACCTTGAGCCAAAGCTGGCCTGTTGTACCCGAGAGTCAGTCAGTCACTGGCTGTGGTCTGCCCCCCTGATGATGAGGGCCACAACCTCTCAGGGGAAGTAAGTAGCTGTGGCTTATCAACCAACATTCTCTACAACTGGGTTGAATGCATCTTCTAGTAAAGGGGATTTGAGAACAGGACAACAACCACCTTTACTACAAAGGCACATATATGTTCATAATAATAACAAATGCACTGAAAAGGTATTAAGAACTCTAAATCCTCAAAGACTTACTGACATCCAGATAGTCTTTTATAGTATTCAAATTCTCTGAAAACTAGTGTTCCTTAAATTATATGTAAATTAAATTCCCATGAATATTAATATTTTATTATCTTGAATTTCTCTTTCTTACGAAAATATAAATTTTATTATGTTTCAAAAACAGAGCCAGAGGAGACTCTGATTTCTGTTTTGTTGCTTATCAGTCAGCTGCTAAGAAACATAAATGTACACAGGCTTGAGTACCTCTGTTTCTTAGAAACAGCAAGCAAACAATTGTTGGATTCATATGACAAAATTAGATCAACAATATATTAAACTTATACTTTTGGTATTCATTCTAAGTAAAAAGTAAGCAAACAGAATGACACAGTTTATTGTAAAACTGTAAAAAGCAACTTTTCTTAGAAAGATGGCTTTGCAAATGTGGGCATTTGTATAAATAGCTAATGGCAAAAAACACTGTATCCATAATGAAAATTAGAGCTTTAGTTTTTCACTTTTACCAGTTAGTTAAGACAAAACCAAGTAATCAATTATACTAGTAACTAGTGTGTGTTTATAGAGTGAATTCTTGTATAGCTGTTTCCACTAAAAGGTAGCTGCAGAAACTATAGTGTCTAATAATTACTTTAAGAAATAGAGCCATAACGCTTTTAAAATCATAAAGAAGTTCCAAGATATTCATTAAGGTGATTTATAATAGAGAATTTTCCCTCTTTGTCCTTAGTATAAATACCCTGACATCATCAACATTATATATTTATTTTCAATACTTTACAGCATTTTAATTTTTTGGGGGGGGATAAGATTTTTATTTATTTATTTTTAATGGAGGTACCGGGGAATGAACCCAGGACCTTGTGCATGCCAAGCATGCGCTCTACCACTGCACTATATCCTCTCCTCTTTTATAGCATTTTAAAGGAAACTCTTTTAAAGGCCATGAGAAGCTCTATGATTAACAGAAAAGCAAGGGGGAAAGGATTCGATATTTTTCTTTTTTTTTTCTGTTTCTCTTTCTCCAGGTGGGAAAAGGACACCTGAAAATACCTGTCTTTCCTGGGTACAATAAGCAAAATTGGACAAAGTTGAAGTTCACAATGT